AATTATTTGATCTCTCGTTCTCCATTTTTCAGTCTGTAAAATGGAAGTGGGGTCTCGGAGAAATACTCTGAATCTTTGACTAAAAAACTTTGCATTTGAGATGTTATTACTAAAGGGGTTTGCATAATTTTGGTGAAATGTTGTGCAGAGTTTTGTATTCCCACCACTTGTGATCATTTCCCATGATCATTTGCTTGCAAGTTTCTCTCACTTTTACTTCCAGATCTCTGGAAGAGTCAGCTTTTAGTCAGATTCCTTAGGCCTGATGTGTCACAGACAGAAGGATCCTGTTTCACAAAGCAGGGGTTTCACATTTTGGTATGCAGATTGTTGCTGCTTTTCTCTTCGCATGTTGTTAATGGAGACTGCCCAGCTCTTTTTTGCTGCTTTTGTCAGGTTCTTTTAGGAGCAAAATGTAGAGTAACATGGTCCTGCTACCAAACCTTAATTAAACAGGGCACTGAAGGATTGTTAGGCAAAATGAAGCTAAAGGTACGGGAAAGGAAAATTAAGTCTTATCTCTCTGGAATACTTCAACAGTTTTCTTGCGCTTTTTTTTTTTTTTTTTTTTTGAGATATGCACGTGTGTGTATACACCCATGCATACATATAGCATGGGGTATACACGCTACACACACAGCACACTATACATATGTAGCATATAAATGTCTTTGTCACTAAGCGCTTATGTTTATGGGACGATTTGCTCAGCATGGTATCAGTATACCAGTGCAGCCACAACTATGTAAATATTGTTCCTTGCGTGGATGCTGAGTGGAGTAACAGTGGCCTTTTTCAGTTTAGCTTATATCAGTACAGCTGACCTACTATGTCAACATAAACTGAACTGAAAAAGGTCACTTAGTCCAGAGATGTTTCTGTGCAGGCCATTACGTTACTGTAGTTTAACCATATGATTCTACAAGTAAGATAGAGGTGTTGGTACAGTTCCTTTTGAGAATAAAGTCCAGGCCATTTTGGAGGCTATTGGAAATAGTTTAATGACCTTAATCGTTTCCATTCAGTGTGCTTTTAATAGAAGGACCCTCTATTGCTCTTATTAAACTGATATTTTGTGGCCTTTTCTTTAGTGATAAAGGACTATTTTAAAACGTAGATGTAAGCACAGTTCTGTAGTAGCTGTGGCCTCAGGTCACTTGTGCTCCTGTGCCTGGCGAAGTCACCAGTTTGTATTGATCACAACGTGGTTGTGCTACTGCCAGATCTTCTGGTGGACACTGTATCTTGCAGGTTTCTTAACTTGGCTGCCTTACAGAACCTGCTTCCTGTTTGTCTCCTCTTCCTCCTGCTTCTTTCTTCTTTTGCCAGTTTCTAAATTATACAGTGTGCTATTTAAACAAAACTATTCCTTTCACGGGTTGTTTGTATACTTTTACATAGTTGTAACATTCCTACTGTGGAAATCTGCAGTTTTGTTCCATAAGGGATACAGTGTTTGGCAGGAGTGTTTGTGCTTCACGAGACCACACTTGGAGTCAGTTTTCAGTAAGAAAAAAAAAAAAGCCAAGATTCAGAAGTACACATCTGAATGTTCATGAGGGTAAGGTGGGGTGGGGACCCTGTGATGAGAATGCCGAACTGATCAGCCATATCTTACTCATTCTACTTGGCATAACTCGATGAACATTATTTATCAGGATGCTTTACAGAAAGTGGAAGCTGGAGAGGAAGGGATGTCTCTGAATATTCCCATAGTTATGTATGAGTCTGTATGTCGTGGCGTTTGATTGTTTGCTCTCTTAGGGATGGATTGATACTTTTCATTTACAGAGGGCTTTGTAGGCTGTATAACAAATGAGTATTCAGATTTCGCTTAGATAAATCATTCTGTAAAAGATTGTATTTCCCCTTTGTATTACGTGATGAAAAAATATGTTTCTAAGCTTCCAAATAAGCTGATATTGATGTAAAATGGCAAATGACTTACTGCTTCACACAGCATTGTGTCATTACAGATTTGCTTTCCCTTTTCTTTTGACATGTTAGTATAATCTCTGCCTAACCACTGGAAGCTATTCTAAAAATACAGCAAAATGAAGCAGTTGGTAACCATTGCAGTAACTGCTTTAGTTCAAGCTGAGAAAGCAGCCAGTGTTCCTTAGCCTGTATACCATTAAATGAGGTATAATAAACAGATAATTAAGGTTTTTTAGATGTGATTAAGATGTTTGTTGACCATAACTTTATTCCAAAGTAGGGGGTGCTAGGTAGTATACCCCTCATCCTCTTTTTAAATAGCACTAAAAAAAAATAGAACCCCAAATCCCAATTGGAATACTGATTATTGAGGGAAGGCATATGTACCTGTACAAATGGGTTTGAGAGTCTTTCCTCATGGTTCTGTGTAACTGTCTGATCCGAGAGTCCTGAGTGCTGAAGTCTGTTTTAAGGGCCAAGTTCTAGGGCTGTGTAATGGGCTTTAAATTGAGAAAGGATTTGCTATAGATCTGTGGGTCTTGTTTCTGGTCTACTTTTAAGCCTAGTGCCTTCATGTCAGTCAGATGTAAATCTGAATGGAATAACATGCACTTTCTTTACAGATGAAGCCAAACTGTCTACCTTTAATTTAGATTATAAGCAGTTCAGGGCAGTGACTGCGCTTTTGCTGCGCATTCCATGGTGCCTGTCTTGTTAAAGTCCTGACTAATGCCTGAAGCTCCCGGCCTAGTGTAATTTATTAATAGTAAGGAACAGACAGTAACTGCTTCAAAATCTGAACTGAGGAATACCTAGAGAGCCAAGCTTTAATGCAGGTATCTACTGAGCCAACCTTGGAGAAATACAGAATGCAATCTTCAGCAACGTTTAAAGAAAATCAATTGCGTAATCCTCTCCGAACAGAGCAACTGTAGGTCACAAATTTAGTACTGGCTTCTGTGTTTAGTCTTAGTGGGAGTCACTTCCATGTTATTTGAGTTCTTTGTGGGAGGAGATGTTTGTGCAGAAGATAAACTACACATTTCTAATGTGATGCAATTGGAGCAAAGTTCTTCCTAAAAGTTAAAGCAAACGAATGAGCCATCTTTTCCTATTCCCCAGTATGAAAAATGGAACATTGTAGTAGACACTTATTTTTTTGGCATTGTGCAGAGTTGGTGGACTCATTTGCTGGCTTTGTGCAGAACACTTAAACCTAGTGTGAACTCTGCAGAGTGAGCACTGCTTCGGTATAATTTAACACTTGACAAGCAAGCAGTGCTGGTATTTAAAATATCTGAATGTGATCTTGTAATTGTCTGGTATGTGGTGGAAAGTAAGAATGATAGTTTGCATTGTAATGCTTTGACCCACTGGTTGAGAACCAGTTCTGTCCACAGATGATAACATAGTGAAAGCAAAAATATTACCTCGAAGTGGGAGATGTCTGCTGGGATTTTAATGCTAGGAAGGCTGTTTCGTGTTCTTGGCAAGGAAAATGTAGGGTAGTGGTTTGTTCATGTGGCACTTAATCTGTGTTTAAGTGCATGAATGGTTTGGGCTTCTGTTTCCTTTTGGTTAAATTTTACCTTTCAGTTTGTGTAATTCAGGAAAATAAAGTTGTATCAGATTAGACTGGTGGTCTGTTTAGCCTGGTTTTAACTGATGATAGCTATTTAAGGTCTTCCCTTTCTCTTCTGTTTGCCGGTGCCAAACGTTGGTTTTCTCAATAGCATTTTGGTCAGATTAGACAAACAACTTCCACTTTTCTAACTTGAACTGTAAGTCGAACCAGCTTTACCTGGCTGTCCTCTATCTTTTGCAAGACTGCCATGACAGCTGGGGGGACCCACCAACCTTAGAAATAGGAAAATTTGGGTTTGGAAAACCCAAACCAGAAGACTGAGACGTGAGAAAATGTGCTTCTCAAATAAAGTAATAGTTGCTAGCAGTTGAAGAAAACAATTCTGGAGTTTTTACTAAAGAGTTTAAAGTAGTTACTTGAAATAATATTTCTGTGGAATGTGCTTTTTTCCAGTGGCCATAGTAAAATTCTTAGTTTTAAGCGTTCCTTGGATTGGGCTTGTGAATTGAAATACGACAACTATTTGTAATAATTCAAATCCAGAAAACTATTCTTTAAGAAGCAGTGTTAGCTATTTATTTTTTCTGTCTGATTTAAATAAAAAAGGCAAAATCTAATGGTGGAAAAGTGTATTATCTCTTCTAAACAGCTAAGCTAGTCGCTTCTCTCCTGATTAAAATTTGACACCCCCCCTTGCTTTTTCTTTTTAATTAGTGTTTAATTTGATAAAGAAACTTCTTTCACTTTTGTTAGCTTAGTTTTCTCTGACAGTTTTTGATCTTAACTGTTTGATACGTACCATGGCTTTTAGCCTGGTGAATGTATTTTTTGAGTTTTGCTAGAAGTCCTGAATTATCCTGCTCAGGTGATCCTGGCCTGGAGCAGCTTCTGTGCATGCCTCAGTTTCCCCAGTTCCTTTCTCTAAGGTGTCACTCCAGACAGGGAAATCTATTCTCAAGCTTTTCCACGATCAGATTGCTAGCCTTTCTTGCAATATCTTTAAAATGGCTTCTTGTATAACTAGTTTTATGAAACAGAAGCGAAGTGCTGTGGCTTTTTTCCCTGTGTTTGGTGGACTGCCTCATTGAAGGCCAAAAGACAGGTTTTTAAACATTACCAGTGGTTTTGGTACTTGTGCTTCTGTTATTTCTGTATTGTATTTCAAAATCAAGTAGACCTCATGTGGATGTAATACAAACAAAAAAATTTAGATTTTTCATGGAAAGTAACAGGTAAATGTGTAGCCTGTGACTAAAACCCAAGCCAGAAGGCGGCTGATGTGCTTTAGTGTCAACAGCTCTCTGGTCTGTTAGTTTAGTCCCTGATACAGGCTAATGAACAGGACTGGCTACTTTATATAATCGTGCTGCTAAGGTGGAGTCAGCAGGGCTATTGCTAGTGCTCAGGATGTGTTATACAACTGTAATACCAGAACCAATTCATTTGACGCCTTTTTTTTTTTTTTAATCTTTTGTAGTGTGCCGTTCAAATAAAAGTCCATGGGTCTGTCTGACGTGCTCAAGTGTCCATTGTGGAAGGTGGGTACAAAGTGTTAGTATGTAAAACTTTTAATCAGACCTTTATCTTTTTCTTTTGTTGCTTGACTCTGAGGCAGTTTGTTGAAAATTTTCCTGAATGCCTTATAATTCCCTGAAATAACCTTTTCGTGATCTCATTTAACATTGTATGTTTATACTGAACACACTTTGCTACCTTATGAGTCCAGAGATTATACTCAAGATCACTTTTTTTTTTTCCCCAAAAGAAAAGTGTACAGTAAATGTGATTGCTCAGCTCAAAAAGTACCTGGAGAACTGCTAATTCAGTGAATTATTGTAAAGTTCCATTTTGTACAAGATGTTTCTGTTGTAATAAGGTTAAACCAATAAGAATTCTTGGAAACCCACAAATCCAAAGTTTGGCACAGCTTATTTTGAGAAAAACAGCAACTGTCCAGCTTAGACAGAAAATACCTTTAAATGTACTGTAGTGTAGTTTTGGAACAGAATTATTGCCATAATGTAGAAGGACTAGCTACCATCAGAATTCCTTCAGAGTACACCTGTTTTTTGTCTGTATTAGCTGAAGTACACCTGCTGCTACATAAATGTTTGAGATGCAGCTATTAATGAGAATGCAGTTAGTGTTGACATTTAGACAATATCTGCAATGTGAGTGTGTTTTCATCTGTAGGGTAGCATCTGTGCTGGTGTGCTTTGATTCTGTAAAAGCATCATCAAACTTAGTGACTTTGAATCCACTTTAAAAGACAATAAACTCTAGGTTTTGTTTCTTTGATCTGGATAGCAGTAAGTGCCACAATTTTAATAATGTCTCATTCAGAGTTTTCAGCACAAACCTCTTTTTTATCTTTATTTATTAATATATTTTATAAATTTATACTTGAAGAGAGCTGAGAGGGGGGGAGCTACTTCATGTTATGTGATGGTGTGAAATAAATAGTTTGGAATATTTTACTTGTTATCAATTTAAAAAAAAAAATTACTGCCCACATACGACCTTTCTTGTGTGCAGTCAGTAGACATTGAATCAGTTATTTATGCAGTTTGTTTTGATTTTTCAAATTGCTGCCATCCTTAGAAAGGAAAATAATTGCATGAGCAGAATGTAATATATCTTGTAATAGGAGCACTTTGATCGTGAAAGCTCACAGCATATTTTTCTGTTCAGATAATGTTTGAAATTAAAGGAAGAGAAATAGAGGTTTTCATATTTTCCCTTGAAGTACATCCTCCAGGTTAGAGTAATTTGGAACATTACTGAACATGTTACAGCAGCAGAGCATTTCTGGTGGGAGCATAGCTTTATAAACCTGTCATTTGCACTGTTAGGCAGAAAACCAACTCCTGCAAGCACAACCATCTTGTTTGGGTTATGACATAATTGCTGTAGGATTCTGCCAGCATAGCAGTGGCTTCAGTGCCTTAACTAGCACAGCTGTGTTAGCAGAGTTGTTTACACCTGCATGTGAGAACAAGTGTAGAATACAAAGACCTTCATGTGGAGCAAGCGCAGAGTTCCTATCGGGTAGCATTCCTGAGTTCAAAAAGCAAATTCAACAAGAAGTGGAGGAGGAGAGAATTCACCTGAGGTATGGCCGTGCACTTCTAAGCGTTAATGATTTTCAGCTGATACTTAGGATTCTTGCATTTGTAATGACAATTTTTTAATTAAAGATGCTTAATTTTCTAGATCTCAAATTTTGAGCATGAAAATGCTCATTGTGTCAGCAAAAGAGCTTTAGGATTTCAGATTCCTTTTTCAGTTATGTGACCCCAAATTCCAGAGCCTTCCTAATTAATGAAATTTATAAAACATAGAATGTTCTAATAGTAATTCGTGCTGCAGAATGGGAAAGCTTAAAATGGATATGCTTTGATCTGGGGGTCAGCACACTGAAAACTGTACAGGAAGGCAGTATGGAGAACTAACCACATTACAGGTATGGAAAAAGGGAGCTAATGTTTTTCTCAGTTGTGAAGGTGCATCAGCCTGTTCAGGGCCCAGATGCCAGTTTGTGGTTGCTATGAAGGAGATGGAAGGGTTAATTTGGACAATGTAGGAGAGTAAAAGTAAAAAGTTAGAAAATATAAGCAATGTTTTCACGCAGGTGAATTGCCTATTTTAATGCCCGTACAAATATTGGATGCTTACTACAATGCCTTTTTTCTTATTTTCAATGAATGTTGGTTAAATCACTGTTTAAAAGTGTAAGACTTCTTTTGGTTTTTATTTATTTTAGATATGTGAATGGCCATGCAAAAAAGCATTATGAAGATGCACAGATTCCTATGACCAATCATAAGAAAACAGAAAAACAAGAGAAAGTTCAGCATACTGTGTGTATGGATTGCAGTAGTTACAGTACATACTGGTAAGGGTTTAAATGCTGTAATTTGACTTTTTACATATTAGAAGGTGAAAACTTTAGACTCTGGTGAAGCATTACACACATTTTTGAGCACTTCATCTCTTGATTTCCAGACCTGCCTGTTTAATAACAGTTATGAAATACGTGCTTTTTGCATGTGTATTGTAGCACTGGTTGTGGCTAAACTCCCGCATTTCAAATGATTTAGCAGAAACTTTTTCAAATAAATGCTATATATGTGGTTTGGGGTTGCTTCTGTTTGCTTTGGGGTATGTTGAGAACCTAATCTTTTAATTGCAAAAGCTTCTGTTTGGTTGTAGTTACTCCTTCCATCAAATTGGTGAGCCTTTCACATATCCTTTATTTGTCAGAATATCGGAAAGTAAAGTAATACACTAGTTTCTGCCCAAGAGAAGGGAACTTGAGGTATGTATGTGTGTGTTTTCTTTGGGGTTTTTTTCCAATATTAATTTTTTTTCTTCACACTGAAAGAAAGACTTTTTTCTTCTGGAGATTTGGTGCAACCTGTATGAGTTTGGGGAAGTGATGGGTCCTGTTGGGAAGCAGTATCAACTTTTTTGTTTTGTTTTGTTTGAAGTATGACCTGTCTTCTAGTCACTCTGAAGGTAATAGTGTATGGAGGAATTTTAGCAGGGTATTGGAAGTCTTGATTATATCTCCATTTACTCTGACAAATAGTATGCCCAACTTGCTGAGGCTTGATGAGTTACACTGGCAAGTCAGAGCACCCAAACCCCAATATGGGCACTGCAAAATGATGACAGCCAGACTGAGGACTGTGGGATCTATAACTGAAACAACCTATGCTTGTGCGGAGCAGGTAGCACCCACTTAGGAAGCTCTCTGGTGTTTCACGGCATAGTTGTGGTAGGACAGATGAGAAGCAGTTTAGCGTGTGATGTCTTTTTTGCTGTAATCGAAGTAGAAGGCTGAGTCATCTATGGATGAACTGGAACTAATTGTAGAGAGCTTTGCCTTGGGGAGTTCCCAGTGCATATAATTCACTAGCAAATTATAACTCTCCTGTGCTAATGTGAAGCTGAACAAGTTTCAAAAGCAGTGTATCTTTGCTTTCATTTAGGATACTTCATTTCTTTCCTGTCTGATAATCAGAAAAAGATACCTGGATTTGTTATCGCATCCATTTTTCTTTTTCAGTGGAAATGAGCTTAGATATGTAAAGATGAAGCAGAAAGCATTCAGACCGACTTCTGCCTCTATTTCACACTGGCTGCTACCAAATAGTGTTGGCCAGTTAAAGCAAGTAGGTGGGTGAATTCAAGTCATACATAGCTACTGTGGAGACTGAATTTTGAAATGTTATTTGTTAGCTTCTGCAGTGTAGACATGAATCTGGTAGACAGTGCTATGTTTATGCAATGGTGTTTCTTTTAAGTGAACTTTTATTTAAAGATTAATATTTTATGCTAGCAATGTGGACAACCTCAATTATTTGAAAGTCAAGAAAATACCACCCTAAGACTTAATTGAATTCTACTTCTGTAAAAATAATGGAGATGTTTTGATGCAATACTGGCTTTTATATTTTTATTTGCAATTTTGTTTACTGCACAGAGTTGAGAAGAATACTCTATGGATCCCAATTTACTGTGTTCCTTAGCTTGCATGATAGCAGCGAACAGGCTTGTATGGGCTCTTTTCTGAGCAGAAGGCATTTAATCCTTTGCTTTTCTTTGGCCGTGTCATAAACTTTCATGCGGTCATGAGAGCACAGTCCAGGGTTTGCCTTTGCTATTCTTGTCAATCCAAGGGGAAGAAATACTATGTGACTGTTGGAGCTACCATGATTTATTGAATTTTGTTTCTAGTTCACATGCAATCTTGCTGTAAACCAAAACCAGATCGAGCAGTCTCCTGTAATTGCATTTCAGCATGGAAGTTTAGGTGTGTATGTTTTCTTTTACATGATCACAAGCTTTCAACATAGTTTTGAAAGGAAAATGTTTCCGTTCTGGTGGGATGGTGGTTAATTTTTATTTTTTTAATGTGAGATTAAGTTTTTATTTTATTTATGAATTTGGTAATGTCTTGAAAAATATGGGCATGCCTGAGGTATCATTAAGTATTAGGCAACTAGGGATATGCTTTCCAGGGGATTTTGATCTTTCTTCTATGTCCTCCTGTTCAGTCTTTACAGTAGAAAAGTTGAGAGAATGTTAATCTTTTTTTTTATTACGAGAATATGACTCTCTTCTTGATTCTTTGGTCACTTTGGAGACAGTGGATGCAATACTAAATCTCCAAACTGAATTATGTTGGAGACCCTAAGCACTGAGAGAAACAGACTCCCAAATTCCATTTTTTGAAGGTAATCAGCCTTTCAGTTAATTCTAAAGTACTAAGTACACAGAGTTTACAAGAACTACAGATCTTTTTTCTCCTCAAGCTATCGTATGATGCTTTCTCCTGCTGTGTTAGTGGTTGTTTTTCTATGCATGAGAAGTAAAATGGTACGTGTAAGAAGCCTGCTTTCAGAAACACATTTCCTGAAAGAGGACTTGTAAATTTGTTTTCTCTGTGCTGGTGCACAGACAGTTGGTTAGCACAAAAGAAGAAAGGCTACCCTGTTTATGTGTTTGCATAATATGTTTCCTGTGTTCATTTAATCCCAGACACAACTTGCAGGTCAGATTTCTGACCCATTAGCCTCCTTTTTATCTCTTAAAGGGACATGGTTGTGCTAACGTCCATCCATCTGTCTGTGTCCCCCCCTATCCTGGGCTGGTGTAAAAATAAGTGCCAAGGACTTAAAAAAATTATTTTTTTAGTCTTTTTGTGATGGTGGTTCTCCTTAAAAAACATGTGCTAGCACATGAGCATCCAAAAATGAGATTGATTAGGACCATTATTTTGCATTTTATGGTCCGTGGAAATTAAAGAAGGTAAAAAGCCTTTTATCAAGACCGTACAACTTGAGTTCTTAGTTCACTCATATAAGGTGTTAGCACAGCTAAAGGAAACTTGGCTTTTCTTAATTTTGCTTGTCCTGTAATTCTTAAAATCCAATCGGGGCTTTTAAATGTAGCATGAAGTTCTATAACCTACTGAAACATGCAGCACTAAGCAGAAGTGTTCCCCAGAGCAGTGCATACATTTGCTGGCTTGCTGTCATTTTAGCAGCAAAGGAGGCCAGAAAAGACCAGACCTTGGAGGTAGCAGAGGTGCTAAAAATAGAAAGTATAGAGAGAGGAAAATGTTATGCTAATCCATATAAGGGACCCTTCCCAAAGTACAGAATTAGTTCTGTACAATTGCTGTTAAAAGCATATTGTAGAACTGTATGCAAGAAGGTGTATTGTTAATTTGTGATAATCCTGAGGATCACAAATTAAGCATCTGTTTTGAATGTTGGCTTCACATATAGGAAATAATCCCTCAGGAATTTACCTTTAAGGTATGTGGGCTTAGCAAATTTTAAGCTATTAAGCATAAACTACTTTCTATGCTGTTTACTTTGTTTATCCAAAACAGACTGGTAGTCGTGCTGTTACAAGGGAGGTGGTTTAAAAAATCTGCCCATTAAAAAGAGAAATAGAAGGAGCTCATCTTGTTGTTAAGTGACTCTTAAAATTACTTTTCCACTGTTGCAAAGACCCTGACACTTAATCATGTATTTGGTTTTATTCCTCCATCTTGGGGAAAGCACTAAGTCGCAATTTTATGCGAAGTTGTAACTGGTATGCAAGATCAGACTAAAAATAAGGTTAACGTGATCTTTAGGATATGGGAGCAAGTATTAAATCATCTTTCAGCGATAAGTTGGTTTAGAGGCTTCCAGTGAGCTTGCATCTGCTTTCATTCCCTGTTTATAAATGTTAGTAGCTACACATCTAGGGTAGCAGTATAATTGTGCTAGTGTATCTGGGGGCGTGGACACGCTTGGTGTTAAGGAGGAGTTGGACTGTGCTGTATCCACATGCACCATATTTACCTCTCGCCAAAGCTGTCCTGGGTAGTTTGCTCTGATGGTTGTCCTTGAGGTGTGGTGTCTTGTGAGAGTGGCAAATGCAGGAACAGTTCATTAGGTAATTGTAGATGGCTGATAAAGCTGAATAGGACTACTTAAATCATGGTTGTAAAATAAGACTGTTCACAGACTTCTTCCCCCTCCCAAACTAACTAGGTCTGTGGCAATCTTTAAGAAAAAAGATAATTCTATTACTGGCAATAGCTATCTTACAATTTCTAGATCTCATGTAAGTACCCATAACTGCTGCGCTCAGTGTTTGGAAATGTTGAGAGTCATACTAATTTCTCTTCTCAGATGCAAAAATCAACAGAGATTCTGAATAGGTCTGATTGGTCATCATAGAATCATCATAGAATGTTTTGGGTTGGAAGGGACCCCTAGAGGTCATCTAGTCCAACCCCCCTGCAGGAGCAGGGACACCGCTAACTAGATCAGGTTGCTCAGAGCCCCATCCAACC